CTATAAAAGCGGGCACGTCACCATAGGATTCAGGTTATTTCAAATGAAGCGACGACAGTGCAGCTGCATATCACCACTAGCAACGCAGTACTCGTTCCTGTATCTCAGGGAACTGAGGTTACGTTTGTAACCGAGTACATTCCCTATCGATACTTCACTCGTACTGCATCTGCTAAGACACTATGGTAACCAGTACAATCAGGCAGTGCTATGGCAGAGAAACGACTTCAAGAGTGCCCTAGGCACCTCAGGGCCCAAGGGGATAAGAATAGTAAACACCTCCCAAGGCGAATGGGCTAAGCTCACAGAGGTCACGCTCGGCCTGAGTAATCATTCCAGAAGACTTGTACAGCCCCGGCACCCATGAGGGCCGAGAGCGCACAAGTAAAGCCTCTGATGGGTTTGAGCTTTGCCAAACTCCTGCTCAGAGTGGTACTGCGTATGCAGGTGCGTGCCAGTTATGCAGAAAGAACCCTAGCCTGCAAGGCAGGGACGTCAATTATTTTGGTCAGTATTGAAATCATGATTATTTAACACGGTTATTGGTGGGCAATAAGATCGCAGTCTTGTTTGACAATATGAGTAATTTTAAATATGTGAATTTTTACAATTATCGATACTAGTACTAAATAATACTAGTTAACTAATTTAAGTAAATGGTCCTCAAAACAATTCCAGAAGACAAGTAAACAGTCAGCAATACTATAAGAACAAATACATTAATTACAAACAAATACAACAGAACAAAAATACAAATGAAATAAACGTTAAGATTTTCAGGAAGATGCACTAACAGTGGTATTCAGAAAAGTAATAGCCTACAACAGAAATTGAATAATCAAATGAAAATTACACTGCATACCCTTAATGTATACCAGTGGTGGAAAGAGTGCTGAATTTCTACTTGTGATTTTAACCCATTCAGGTGCAAGCCGACGTGAAAGTGATCTCAATTCAGCAATTATGAGCTACCTCTCATAGGGTGCAAAATCTGAATTGATTTGTCTTTCATGTCTCATGCTTGAACAGATCATAAATATATACAACATTGTCAACATATCTACATAAACAGTTTTGTCTAAAGTGAATGTGAACAGTTGGAAAAGAAAATACACTAATTTGTTCTTATTTTATTACCATTTACCTATCTTTAATAATGTTCAAAATGTATAATATTTAGTCTAGTTGTTTTTGCGGTGGAATTTTTGGTAAGACCATAGGCAAAAGTTCCTCATGTAAGTAAGCTAATTTTTGTATATCTAAAGTTTTTTTTTTTTTGCCTTATTTAAATTACACCTTCAATAAAAAAAAATCACAAACGATAAGCAGAATCGCTATAATTCAAATGATACCCAACCCTACTTAAGTGTCAGACAGTTTAAAAAAAAAAAAAACGTATTTAGCACTTTAAAAGGCATTAGCTCAGTATTTAACCTATAAAACATTATATTATCCGTCAACAAATGTTTCACTCGGTAAAAGCTGTATTTATAATTCATTTAGAATTTCTAAAAAAAAGTACCAGAAACAACAAAATGTAAATCACTATAGAAACTTCACTCCTTAAAAGCCTTATTCAGATTCACAAGAAGTTGATTTTCAAAGTTTGAACAGTCAATCCTAGCTCGCTTGGCAGTAAACAACTGCCCAGCACAACTGAACAAGCGTTCACAGGCTGCTGAAGCAGGAAGTCCTGTATTTAAATGCAGTGACAATTTCTTTACACACGGGAACGTCGTGGCCTAATGGTTAGAGGGTAAGACTCGTAACCCAAAGGTTGTGGGTTCAAGTCTCGTACCAGCAGGGATTGTAGGTGGGGGGAGTGAATGTACAGCGCTCTTTCCCACCTTCAATACGAAAGCTCCATGTTTTCAGAGGTGCATGCCAGGTATCCCTGCAGTTCACCTGTGGCATCTGGAGGGTTTGACTTCATGGATGAAAATAAGTCCTCTTCATCAGACATTTCACATCTCTGGGGCTGGAACTCTAGGTTTGCGAATGCCCTCAAATGATTCCAGATGTAATCCAACTCTATGATGATGGGGGAAACACACTGCATGCTAGGTTTATGAATTGTCTTCAGATAACAGCCTAATCAATGATATTCTCAATCTTATTTAATAAAAATATACTGTATGTAACCTCAGATTTAGTGAAAGAAAAAGACTGAGATGCTCACTGATGTCACAACTCTGCTGTTAGGATGGTGAAGCAGGCGGACGAAGATGAAGGTAACTCCAATAATATAAAGTCTTTTAAAGGGCCGCCAACAAAGACAAAGAAGAGCTAACACGCAGGGTAACATCTACATTAACCGACAAACACAAAGAGCAAAAGAGCGAGACTAAATAGGACCACTAATGAGGGTAAAACAGATGCAGGTGTGTACTGATAATGAACTTAACAAGGTAATGAGCAGAACCAAAACAGGGCAAACAGGAACCTGATGGGAAAACAGAAAAGAAGCAAACTAAAGTACTTGTGGTGTGACAACTGATGTGTACTGTAGATTAGAAATAATTACAGAACCATAAAAAAGATAAGCACAATCTACAGATAGCCCCACAAAATATATTATACATAAATTATATTAAATACAAAAGTAACCTGAACAAATTTACAAATTTTGTTTGATTATTCAAAAATAAAAATTAAGACCCCCACTATAAAAAAAAA